CACCCGCACCATACACGGTGTTGGCAAAGAACTGCTTCCCCCTCCTGAGGCGCCGGACGGTTTGCCAGAACCTCTTCGAGGCCGACCGATAGTCATGCTCCATGGACTCTCCGAACTCCTCCCAGTCCCGGGTTTTTGCCTCTGCAACAGCCCGGGCCGCGGCACGTTTGGCCTGCCGGTACTGGACAGCTGCCTCAGGAGTCCCACGAACCATCATTGCGCGATAGGACTCCTTCTTCAGCTTGACGGCATCCCTTACTGCCGGTGTCCACCACCGGGTTCGGGGATTGCCGCCGGGACCAGCACCAGATACCTTGCGACCACAGCTACGAGCCGCTGCATTGGCGATAGAGGAAGAGAACATGGTCCACTCGGACTCGATGTCCCCCTCCTCTGCCGGGACCTGGGAGAAGCTCTCCCGGAGGTGTGAGTTGAAAGTCCGTCTGACAGGGGGCTCAGCAAGACGTTCCCAGCAAACCCTCACTACACGCTTGGGCCTGCCAGGTCTGACCGGCCTCCTGCCCTGCCAGCGGATCCAACTCACGACCAGGTGATGATCGGTTGACAGCGCCGCCCCTCTCTTCACCCGAGTGTCCGAAACACGCGGTCGAAGGTCAGATGATACGACTACAAAGTCGATCATCGACCTCCGGCCTAGGGTGTCCTGGTGCCACGTGCACTGATGGACACCCTTGTGCTCGAACATGGTGTTCTTGATGGACAGGCCGTGACTGGCACAGAAGTCCAACAACTGAACACCGCTCGGGTTCAGATCAGGGGGGCCGTTCTTCCCGATCACCCCTCTCCAAGTGTCACTGGCATTTCCCACATGGGCGTTGAAGTCCCCCAGGAGAATAACGGAGTCCCCGGGCGGTGCACTGTCCAGTACCCCTCCCAAGGACTCCAAGAAGGCCGGGTACTCTGCACTACCGTTAGGCCCGTAGGCTGTCACAACAGTGAGAGACATGTCCCCCACCCGGAGGCGGAGGGACGCGACCCTCTCATTCACCGGGGAGAACTCCAACACGTGGCGGCTGAGATGGGGGGCAATTAGTATGGCCACTCCAGCTCGCCGCCTCTCCCCGCGGGAAACACCAGAAAAGTGGAGCGTCCAACCCCTCTCAAGGAGTTGGGTTCCAGAGCCCAAGCTGTGTGTGGAGGTGAGGCCGACTATCTCTAGTCGGTATCGCTCAACCTCCCCCACAAGCTCGGGCTCTTCCCCCCCAGTGAGGTGACGTTCCACGTCCCAAGAGCCAGATGTTGGGTGTGTGGACTGGGTCGTCGAGGTCTCCGCCTTCGACTGCTGCCCAGTCCTCTCTGCACCTCGCCACCACGGACCCCTCTGCAGGTGGTGGGCCCACAGGAGGGACTGCCCACGTCTTTTTTAGTAGGAGGGACTGCCCACTAAAAAACAAACACGTATTATAGTCCCCCAAAACACTCTGTACAACCCCACTCTGGGTTCAGGATTTTTTCTGAAAAAAAGAGATTCAGAAATCCTAAGCTGATCTATGTGTTTAAACAGTTGTGCGTTTCTCCATCCGTAGGTGACGTGTCACGTTACAACATGAACACCTGCAGCTTACCATCACCCAGGACCTCAAGTGGGAGCCGACCATCAGCTCCCTCATCAAGAAGGCCCAGCAGAGGGTGTACTTCCTGCGGCAGCTCAGGAAAGCCAAGCTGCCTGCACAGATGTTGGTGCAGTTCTACACGGCCATCATCGAGTCCATCCTCACCTCCTCCATCACCGTGTGGTTCGCTGGAGCCACAGTCAGGGACAAACAGAGACTGCAGCGCATTGTGCGCTCTGCAGAGGAAGTGATTGGCCGCAGCCTTCCATCGCTGCAGGAGCTATACGTCGCCCGAGCTCGAGGCCGGGCTGGTCGTATCACAGCCGACCCCTCTCACCCTGCACATGGACTATTCCAACCACTCCCCTCAGGCAGGAGACTGCGGTCCATCAGGATTAGAACCTCCCGCCACAAGAACAGTTTCTTCCCCTCTGCTGTTGGACTCTTGAACACTTCTTAACCTGTGAAACTACTGAAACTACTGTGGGTCCTCTCTTTGTTACTTCTCTGTCTGAAAAAGTGAAAAATCTAAAGATCAATGTTACAGAGGTAAACAAAAATACAGGCATGTGAAAACTAGAGTCTGGGAGCGGTAGAGGAGTAGGCGTGTGTTTTTCTGGCAGACAACAGCGGACCAGGGCAGCCTTGAAGATCGCCTGGCTCTCATTATTTATTCATGCCCAGAAAAGCAGACGTCTGGGAGATCACATGACGGGGGCAGGACGTCGCTCTATTACAGGCCTGTGCTCCTCATTACTTAGGCATTAGCCCCATACTCTTTGATGAATTATATAGGCATGGATTTGTGTCTTAATTAGTCTCATATCGCTACTGATGAGCTCGCAGATCATATCCGGACATTTTAATCATTCATTCTGTTGAGCTCTGACGGGCTTCTATGGGGTCCTGTCGATCAGTCAAGACTTAAGGGATATTGTTAGAAGATGCTTCATGACGGTTTCAAAAGCATGGGATATTATCGACCTGTTGAATGCTTCTGTTTATGTACTGTGATTTTGCACGTGTGCAGTGAACCTGAGGGGGTAGGAGCTCATAGCGAATCACTCAAATCTTGGCATTTCGTCCCAGGCCTTGAAATATTCCAAAAACACCAAGATTTTATAGAAAGTACTGATTTATCTGCAAGGAGAGGATCCCACGCAGCTTTAAATGCAGAAATTTAATTTTGGAAAAGGTTCAGAGATGAAACCAAAACAGACGGCTGTCACACATTTAATTTATTTTCATTGATTTATTTAAGGATGGCTCCATTGGGATAGATCATGTCTTTTTCAAGGATTTTCTTTGTTACAAGAATTGCTGACATACTCAATACAATACAAAACATTTAGCAAACCAAGTACTATTTGCCTAGTTATAAACACACAAACACACACCATTACCACTTATCTCCAACTGCCATGATATCCACAATGTTACCTCCAAGTCCTACATTTTAATTTGGAAATTGAGACATTTGAGCGGTGGATCTGGGGTAGAGCCCTGTTTCCACCTGCCCTACTCGGCCCTGCTCTTCCATCCCGTAGTAAGTAAACATTGACTTCACAGAGTTTAACCGTTTTAAGGAAACTGTGCAAGTTCTGCAGCAAATAAATTTTTTCAAATCATTTCACAATCTACAATATGAAATGACTGGAAAAATAGCCTCTTTATCATTGTAGTGGGCATCTCTTTAAATCAAATCTGAAAAATCCTCAAACTCTTTTGCATACAGCAGATGAAAGAGTCTCTGAATTAAGATGCAAACAAACAAGTGAAGCATTCAGCTCTTTGCAGTTCCTCCGCAGAGGGCGACCCATCACTGTACGCAGCAAATGTATTCAAACATTCTTTGCCATAAATTGCTTTTATTGTAGAGGTTCCTGTTTACATATATCCTCGCTGTTCTGCATATAAAACACACTGACATTTACTGGTGCCGACACTTTCCGTACCATTGTGATTCTGCTGCGGTGTTTTCTGCTCGGGCGCACAGAGGGGCGAGTCGTGATGCGCCGCTACAGTAGGCGCAGAAATGATCAAAAGGCAAAGAAAAAAACCAAAAAGATATGTATAGAAAAACATTCGGAGCAAGGAGCCTCGCGCCACGTGGCAAACCGCAATGCCTCCTTTTGTTCCAATTTGGCCTACGAGCAAAAGGGGATTCAAAATGTCAGACCAAATATTGCTCAAACGAACGGAGTAATTACCGTAGCAGAGAAGGCCAGCAGGACGCCAGCTCGCCTCTTTCTCTACCAGCAAAACAAGCATGCAGAGATCACTTGGAATATAGAAGGCATTTTTATTTGTATGCTTTAAGTACTGCGGCGGGAAAGACTTTCTAACAGACACTACACAAAGTAAGATCCATCAAGGAGCTAAGTTAAAGAGTCACACAAGAAGGAGTAAATGTTGTAAATAGACTTGGCCATTTGGGCGTGTTCACACTGACTAAAACCCAACAGATCTACACCAATAGTTCTATTTCTGTGTGTGTGTGTGTGTGTGTTTGTATGTCTCTCACTGTGTTCAACCATATGTCCCAGTTTAATAAAGAAATGAAATGAAAGTGTGGGACTAGCAGTTAGTATGAAAAACTGCATGTGTCGTTAAAAAAGACATTGAAACAAGAAGAAGTTCAAATCTTTATATGTTAATTTTATCGCCACAAAAGGGGACATTGATGTGCTATAGTTTTTTTACACCACAGCAAAAACTAATGTTGGTTGATACAAGAGATATTTAAAATATATCATAAGTTTTTCATGTCTATCCAATGCTTGCCTGGCTGTACCACACCATAGTACAAATGACATTTCGTACTAAGGTCTGGAGGTGCTCCATTGAGCTCCGTTTACAGGTGGGAGGGGTTAACTCCTTTTGCAGATTGAAACGATTGGATCTGAGTTTACCGTGGCGTATGTAATGCGCCCGTGTCTGTTGTTAGCATTTAGCATTTAGCCTAGCCATCTCCTTTGCTGCTAACGGAGCCCGTAGGGAGTAGCGCAATTTTTTTTCCCAGCGATAACATTTGCTAAACATTCCTCTTGCTCCGGCTTCAGTTTCTTAATAGAACCAGACCGGATTACTTTACTATCACATTTTTCGCCATTGCCAAACTACAACCTTCCCGTTCGACGCAAACTCTTGACATCACCCAAAACTAACTACAACACTCTCCTTCCACGCTCTCTGAATGGTCGGTCGAAATTCAACCGATTGTAATCGCCAACATGGGGACTAGACCCAGACGTTACATGCAGTGAAATGATGATTGAACGGAGTGTACGGATGGCTAAGGCCTGGCTAATCCAATGCAAACCTGCTTCTATTAGTCTAAATGTGTTTTTCCTTTTTTCAAGACCAAAACCATCTGCTTGTAATAAATTAAAATGTAACTAACTCATATGGTAGTTTTAACCATCAATGGGCCACTTTTCATCATCTCCTCCAACAGCCTCTGATCACCGACACGTCTCGCCCAACCACATCGTTTCATCTTATCTACCCTGACTTGTAATTCCATTTGAAGTGTTTCGCGCTGTGCCATAATTGTTGCTGCAGTTAGCCCTCGCGTCGTCGTCCACAGAGAAGTCCTTCCCTCCACCCCCCGCTCACACTCTGGCACGGCTCGTGAACTCGGCGAGGCGTTACGAGGGGAAAAGCACCCCGACCGCAGCCCGATATGGGATCAAGGGCGCAATGGAGAGTTTCTGCGGGCCACTCAGAGCAGCGCGGCGGTAATCAAACATGTAATCAACAAGCGCTTCTGGAGATGGGAGATCAAATGGTCCAGATAAGCCCTGTGGCGCACTGGGAGCAGTAAACAAGAGTGAAGGGAAGGACAGGCTGAGGTAGAGAAGTTTAACAAGGCTGTGGATGCGTTTTCAGGACCACATTCACAATATGCCATCCACGGGAAGACTGCAAGATCAGTCTGGAAATCCAGAAGATATGCTTATTTTTTTATATTTATTTTTTTTGGCCCATAAATTACATTGGTAAAGAGTTTTGTCTGACAACACTGATTTCAAAAATGTAAAAGAAAATTATGATAAAATATAAATTGGTTTATATAGCGCTTTTCAAGACACTCAAAGACGTCTCACATGTCATTATTATATCACTTCATACACGGTGGTGATAAACAACTGCCTTAGCTACAGCTGACAGACACCCTGACAGAAGCATGGCATCCAGTATGTGCCATTGGCCCAAGCACCATTCATTCTCTTTGTACGTTAAAGTTCCAGTAGCCCCACTATGGCACCTAGTGTTCCCAGAGGTCTCCAATCACAGTACTAACTAGGCCCTGCCCCGCATAGCTTTAGAGGTCTCACAGAATAAGACATTACTGCATATATGCAATTTTGGGACATGGTCATGGATGGCTGGATGAGCCTGTGAAATGCCTCAATCGCGTCTTTGATTTAGTGACAGAGGGCCACATAAAATATCATAACTGGCTGCAATTGTCCCACAGGCCATAGTTTGAACACAAGTTAAAGTGTGACTTTGACTAAATGATGATATTTAAAACCCTCTCATTAAATTGTGAGTTGTTTACTGAGTACTATAAATTACCTATGCACATTGCACAATGTTTTTATACCTTTTGAAACACGTTCCCCAATATTTGATACATGGTGCACACACACACACACAAATACATGCCCCGGTATACATGTAGACCACTCTTGTCCCAGTATACATTCTGGCTCACACCACTCGTAGGCCTTAGACCAGTATACATAAAAAAGATTAAAAATCATTAATTGACTTACATTCATCTAAGCAACTAATAAATGAATCCAAACATATATGTGGAACTAAGCAATCATAAACTTAATAACCCTTACAGTAGCATGACTGTTTCCTGTACACTCTCTGGTCTCTGTCGAGTCAGAATTGATGGTGACATGAGGCAAACTTACAGTACGGTCCATACCATCCATGCTTACATGTTTTGGGCAAGCCGGACTCACGTTTACACTCATCAAATCGATATCTCCTCCTCTCTTCTTCCTATGTAAACACAGCCACAATTTGAAATGGATTGGATGTTATGCTTTTGTCAACATCTGTCACATAATAAGAGTGTGCCATAATACAAACGGCTGAAATAACTTGTGCAATGATTTAGAGCTGGTCTTATTTTGAAATAAACAGGACACCTTCCCGTCAGTGAGATTTACATGGTATTTACTGAGGCTGGATTTACTGCTGTGACTTTGGTTGCTGGGCATAAAGCAGAGTGAAGTTGGACATGGTTATATACAGCCTGGCACGCCTCCAGCTATAAATTGGATCACAGTTTGTGGAGGAAGCAACACGAAGCTCCAATCATCAAGACAACAACCCTGCATGGTGCATAACAGGCGTGTGTGCTATGGTTAGGCATAGAAACGGTGGGTTTAGTTCAAATAAATGCAGCAAGTAGTTCAAGGGGATACAGTTTATTAGCCAGATTGATCTGGTTTAATCTTCTACTTATGGTACAACAGTGTTCCCTCATCAAAAACATGTTAAGTGTGTATTAACAACCAGAGTATTTTTACTAATATTTGCTTTAATCTCCCAGGAAACTGCTGCAACAAAGCAAGTTGAGGGGAGGATGCTCTCCTGTTTGGAAGGAGTATCGGAACAGGAGAACTGTTGGGAAAGGGCATCTGGCTTGACATTCCTAGTTCCAGGACGATATCTTAAGGAGAAGTTGAACCTGCTGAAAAATAATGCCCACCGGGCCTGTCTTGAATTAAAGATGCACTAACTGACTTTGGGATTTTAAAGCAGTGGTTTTGCTCACCTCGCTCTTTCTCCTCCCCTGCCCGCACCCACAAAGCTATTGCCCCCCGCTACGGCACACCCACTGTTGTTTACGGAGCTAGCGTCTACCAATATGGATAGATCCATGTATCGTACATTTGAGCGTGGATGGCGTGACCATAGAATGATAGAACCGGGAAGCGCGGAGGAACGGGACTTTTGTTTGGACGGCTGTTTCGCTGTGTAAGCAGTGACCGGTGACGAAGACAAGGAAGCTTCAGGTTAGCTCCGCCACTTGTTGTGCTAACTCAGCTGTCTGTGCTAACGGACCTGTAGATTTCTCACAAAAGGGGGGGCTAGTGGTCCGCTGTGATTGGTCACAATCTAGTCCCGAAACACATTCTCTTCCTTGTTTCATCAAAACTCCATCTAAAATATAATGTCACACCAGCACAAACTTGTGCTACATATTCTTCAAAAGGACGTATCCCAATGCACTACATGGACATGGATAGCATTTTTGTGATGAATACAAAAATAAAGTCAGTTAGTGCAGCTTTAAGTCTCTTGGCTGTTTGAATGTATGACAGATTCTTATGGTCTGTCCAAACGATGAACGGTTGTTCAGCTCCCTCAAGCCAGTGCCTCCATTCCTCTTGAGCCAATTTGACGGCTAAAAGTTCACCATTTCCAACGTCGTAGTTTCTTGAGAAAGACGTCGAGAGAAGAAGGCACATGGATGCAGCTCCTGTTCCGAAATAGACCTTTGAGAGAGCACGGCTCCCACTCCAGAGTCCAAGACGTCTACCTCAACAACAAACTGACGAGTCGGATCGGCGTGCATAAACACGGGTGCTGTAGTGAAAAGTTCTTTTAATCTCCTGAAAGCTGACTCTGCTTCCTCAGTCCAGGAGAATGGAATAGAAGATGAGGGGGCTGGGCAACAGAACTGAAATTGCGAATGAGGTAGAAATTTGCAACGCCCAGGAACTGTTGGAGCTTCTGGCGGCTGGTTGGCTGTGGCCATTCTAACACTGCCTTAGTCTTTTGGGGATCGGGCCTCACTTGTCCTGCTTCAATTATAAACCCTCAAAAATGAGTGTCGCAATGAAACTCACACTTTTCTGTCTTAACATAAAACTTATTCTCTCTGAGTCTCTGTAGCACCTGACGGACATGTTTAACATGTTCAGCTGGGGACTGGGAATATACAAAAATGTCGTCCAAAATAAACAAACACAAAACGACCCAAGAAGTCTCGGAGAATTCACAAGAGCCTAAAAAACTGCTGGGGCATTTTTCAAGACCGAAAGGCATAAGTTGGTGGTCTTCCACTCGTCACCCTCTTTAATGCAAACTAGGTGGTATGCATTACGCAGGTCTAGCTTAGAGAAAATGACTGCCCCTTGTAATGGGTCAAAAGCTAGCAGTGGCTGAGTGGATTCCCAGCATACAAATACTCTCCCCAGGGGAGACAGGAGGAAGGAGGAGCACTAAAAACTACCCTCATGACAGTTGCTAATGTACAGATGTAAACATACTGTTGCTAATGTACAGATGTAAACATACTGCTGCTAATGTACAGATGTAAACATACTGCTGCTAATTTAAAGATGCTAACATATAACTACATATTGCTTGCACTACACAGTACTTTATAATTGCCTCTTATTTTTATTATGTTAAAGATAGAGAATTTATATTTGTTTCTTGATGCTAGAGTTATAGTATGTTTTATTTTAATTAGTATTGTTATTGTTCTGAGTGCTCCTCATTCCTCTTCTGTAACTTGTAATGCAACACTGAAATTTTTCCCGCTCTGAGATGAATAAAGGATCTCTTACTCTTAATCCGTTTTGTAAAAATGTCTCTTCATAGGGGCCATTTTGAGGTCCATTTGGACATTTGACTAATAGTGATATTAGGCAAATATAACAGTAATTCTCCATGGGGCACCATAAAAATGTGTTTCTAGCTTTAGCGAAAGTTCCGAGATATGTTTTTAGCTTTAGTGGGGATCCCTCTACAGCGCACAGGCCTCAAACACCCAGACTATTTAAGTGGACGGACTTGCCCTTCTCTCAAAAGAGTGAATAAAAGCGGTTTGGATGTGGGTACTAATTGCAAGAGCACAAACAAAACTTTGTATTGAGTTGTATGAAGCGATCGGATGCATGCGTCACATATTCGCGCTTCGTTCATCCGTCTGGCTTATTTTCTATTTTATAATCATTTACATTCTAATGAGATACCAAAGTAAATCTCCTCAAAATCCTATTTCACAGCCAAAATGAGCACAAATACATCATATTGTTTTGTCCTTATTGATCTTTTTCACCTAGGAACAGCCATAAATATTACATGTTATCTCAATTAATATAAAACAGCAGAGATTGATCCGCTCTCGACACTGAACAGCGGCGGAGACAATGCCAGCCTCCTCCTCTGCCGTGTGTGATCCGATGACTCAGTGCGCTTGTGCCAGCTCCAGATAAAACCTGTTTAATTAAGATGTTTGCATACTGTCCAATTACGCTGCTATCGCTAAGGAGAGCTTAGCTTAGCGTAGGCGACTAATGAAATCCACTATCAATAAGGGCTGATAAGAACGGTCAATATGGTTATTTACAAGGCACACTTCAATGTGAGGATGTTACAGATAATGTTTATTATCTGACAAGTCACATTTTGGACTAGTTTTTGTGTAAGGTTCAGACATACCTGATGCTCACAACACAAGCTCATCTTTAAAGAATGCTCACACTAAGGTTGAACCAGTTCAATTACATTTATTTGTGTATAGATCTGAATCACAACAGCAGTCGCGGATGACTACTGTCTATAAATGTCCTTAAATGTCCCGATTATCACTGTCTTTTAATCCTCCTCTATTGGCAAGAACTCACAAATACCCAAAGGGAAAACCGTGAAAAATCTCTACAGACAGACTGTATTTCAGACTGCAGCATCTTGTCAAC